CTGCCCGCCCCCTGTCCGCCCACCTTCTTGTTGACGTGGCTGTATTGCCCGAGCTCCCCCTGCACCTTGGCCAGGGACTTGTGCAGCTCCTGGGGGGTGAGGAGGGGAGGGGGGAGGGGAGGGGGAGTGAGAAGGCGCCCAGGGCCGAGCTGCGAGACTGACGAATGGCGGCTGCGTATGGGGGATTGATGGATGGATGGACGCAACAAGCGGCCAGGGCGCGGCCCGGCAGGCGCCACGCAGCCTCGAGTTCGGCAACCGCGCCACCGCGCGCCGCCAAAGCTGCTGCACTCAGCCGCCAGCGAGCGCTCGCGGCCACGAAGGGCGCCTGCTCTTGCGCCGTCCGAAGGGACCCTTCCCTGTGCTAAACCAGGCACGTTCCCCTGCGCAAGCCCACGTCCGCACCAACCTTGGTGTTCTTGCCGCGGTACTTCTCAAAAGCGTCAGACGGCAGCGTGCCCAGCTCCTTGATGCGGCTGGCAGGGGTGGGGGGGGGGAGGGGGACGGGCAGCTTGCAGGGAGGGCGGTGCAGTGCGGCAAACACAGGTCGGGCCCAGTCAGGCCGGGGCAGAGTCGAGTGGGGGCAGCGTGGCATGGCCGCTGCGGGAAGATAATGCAGACGCTTGCAGCGCACACGAGCAACAAAAGGTGCAACTACACGGGTGCTCGCACACACAAGTCGCGCCGTGCGACGGCCAGCACGGCCAGCCCGCCGGGCTCCCGAGCCTCAAAAGTCGGCGCTGGCCCCAAAGTCTGTCCCCCCGGCCCGCCCCTCACCGGCTGAGGTCGTCCGCGCGCTGCCGCGCCGCGGCGGCCTTCTCGGCCAGCGCCTCGAGCCGCGCCCCCTCGCCCCCCTCGGCGCCGCCGCCGCCGCCGCCGCGCTTAACGGCCTCTGCCAGGGCCTCGCGCTCGCGGTCCGCGGCCTTGGCCTGCGCGCGGGGGGAGAAGGGTGTGTGTGATTAATGCATGCCTTTTGGGGGGGAGGGGAGGGGGGTGCGTGCTTGTGTGCATGCGTGCGTGCGTGCGTGCGTGCGTGCGTGCGTGCGTGTTTGTGTGTGTGTGTGCATGTGTGTGTATGTATGTGTACGTGTGTGAGTTTACCTGCGTGTGCACGTGCGTGCGTCGGTGTACGTGCACGCACGTGTGCCTGTCAGCGCGCACACGGCTTGGTGGGGGGAAAAGAGGGAAGACGCGTAGAAACTGCGATGGCATAACCTTCAGCGGACCAGCGGCCAGTGGGCGCAGCGCATGACACAGAGCTCAAGCACCACCCCCTCCCGGGACCCCGTTTCTGACCACACAGGCCGCGTCCAACCCGCGCGCTGGCCTCCCACCTTCTCCGCGGCCGCCGCGGCCCTGGCCTCCGCCTCAGCCAGCTGCTCCTCCACGCCCTCCACCGCCTCGGCCGCGCGCGCCAGCTCCGCCCTTAGGCCGTCCAAGGAGGCGGCCTCTGCAGATGGCGGGGAGGGGGTACATTTAAAATAGAGGATAAATTGAAACCAAATAGCGTAGGGAGAGCGAGCGGAGCAGGGGCCGGAAGGTCTGCAGCGCCATGGCATGCCCCAGCCAGCACGCATGCACGCATGAAACGCCGAGTCCTGGTGACGCGGCACGGCGCAGCACGGCGAGTGCCCCCGCCTGGCTGTGGCGGCGTCCGCTGTGGCGGCGCACGCGCGCGCACCGGCGGGCGTGCCCTCCTCGGCGGCCGTCGCCAGCTCGTCGCGCCGCCGCAGCAGGTTTGTCTCCAGCCGCGTCTGAAGGCCCTCCAGCTTGGCCGCGGCCTGGGGG